TCAGGCTGGTCTCAAACCTGTAAGCTCAGGCAATATATCCACCCCGGCCTCCCAGAATGTTAGGATTATAGGCACGAGCCACCACGCCTGGTCCCATTTAAGCCTGTATTCCCAAATTTTACTTGGACAGTAGAGTGAGGAAGATTAATTTTTTTTTTTAAGTCTCCTTTTAGGCTGGGTGAGCCACCTGTAATCCTAGCACTCTGGGAGGCAGAAGTGGGTGGATTGCCTGAGGTCATGGGTTCAAGACCAGCCTGAGCAAGACCAAGACCCTCATCTCCAAAAATAGCCAGGTATTGTGATGGGTGCCTATAGTCCCAGCTTCTTGGGAAGCTGAGGCAAGAGAATTGCTTGAGCCCAAGAGTTTGAGGTTGCTGTGAGCTGTGACACCATGACACTCTACCAAGGGTGACAATGTAAGACTGTCTCAACAATAACAAAAACTCTTTATTTATCAGTTTGGAGATGGGGGGTCTTGCCATGTCACATAGGCTAGAGTGCAGTGGTGCCATCATAACTCACAGCAACCTCCAACCCCTGGGCTCAAGGGATCCTTCTGCCTCAGCATCAAGGTATCATAGGCATGTGCCACCCAACCTGGCTAATTTTTGCTATTTTTAAGACAAGGTCTTGCTATGTTTCCCAAGCTGATCTGGAATTCCTGCCCTAAGGTGATCCTCCCTCCTCAGCTTCCCTGAGTGCTAGGACTACAAGAATGAGCCACTGTGCCTGGTCCCATAGACTTTATAATAATCAGAATATTGGGGAAATGACCTAAACTTTTTGGATAGATGAATTTAAGTTTATAAACAAGCTTTTTAATTCTGGCTTGAAAAAGGGTCATTGCAGTGTTATATGGCAATGTAGGAATACCTTCAAGGCCTACTGACCCAGCTGTACTGTTGCCCATCCCTAAGCAGGCCCTCCCCATAGGGAGTTTTGTACCTTTGTCTTTTCATTTCTTATCCAATGGCCTTTCCTACTGCTGTCCACATAGAGGGTTCAATTCCTTTGTTCTAACTGGATTCCTTTAATGTGCAGGGGTCTTAGAAGCAAGACTGCCACATTTATTGGAACAGGTAAGAGTGATTTTGCTCTAGATGGTACCCTTGCCAGGCTGTGGTGACCATATGCTTCTTTCATCCTAAACTGCCTGTCAGATTCCCCAAACTGCCAACCTTATATGATGTGTCAGTCAAGGTACATAGATGTTAGGCACAGAGCTGATTGCATAGCTTTCTGGTTGTGGAGAGGTCAAATGACACTTAGAATCTACAGCACAAACTCCATGTCCTTGGATCTTGTGCTCATCCCACAGCAAAAAGAACAATGGGGGCTGCTCAGGTCTGAGTCTTCTTTCTGCAAGGCACACTGTTGGCTGTATCTTAAACACCAACATTTTAGTGACTTGGTAAGCTTCCTTGATACGGGCAGCTACAGTTGAACATCTATGTACCAGCCCCTTGAAGGTAGAAAGCAGTTTTGTTTTATAGATAAAGAAACTAGAGCTCTGAGATTAAGTAGTTGTAAGATCCCACGGAAACTTTGAGTTCACAGTTGTGTGACTCCTAAGTCTCTGTACTTTTGCTCTCCCTACCCTTAATGTTTTATGATGAAAATTTCAAACACAGAAAAGTTGAAAGAATGACTCAGTGAACACCATGCGCCTACCGAAAGAGAATGTTTTACTATATTTGCTCAATCTCCCCCTCATCCTCCCTCCATTCCATTTTTGATGCACAACCATGTACACACCACACTGGTCCCTGAAAGAGTGAGGCAGTGGCTTTATACTCACAGATGCATCTTTGCCTCGGTACTTGAATTTTCTCAGCCTCTCTTCTGGAGCATCTGAGTTAGACATGCTGACTAGAAGGCGTAGTAAATCACCTGCAAGTTAGATGTTTACAAAGAGATTTTCAGTGCCCAGAATCTGGGTTACTATATGAAAGTCATCAGGCTCTGAGTCATTAAAGGACTAACAGTGGAACAGAAAATAGACCCCGGAAGTCAGTTTCCACAGTACTACCATGCCAGCTCAGCAGGCCATGGGCACTGTGGGAGTGCTAAGGGGACCAGTTCTGGGTGTAGGAGTAACGGAAATTTTTTTAAAGGCCATTTGACTTGGACTGGGCCTTGGAGGGCTAGAGTTGGCTGGCTGTCATGTATCCGAGGAGTTTTGTACAGGGCATGTGTGTGGTGGTGAGGGGCCTAGACAGGAGACAATACCCAATCTACCAGTACTTTGGGTCAAAAGTCTCAAACACGACCCACTCTTATCTTTTGCTAGATCACCTCTACTCAGCATAGGTCACCATCGTCTTCCACCAATGTTATGGCAGTTGGCTGCCTAGTTTTCCTATTGCTTTATTCCAATCTGTTCTCTGCAGAGGCTTTGTGATTTTATTTTATTTTATTTTATTTTTTTGGAGATAGAGTCACTATGTCACCCTTGGTAGAATGCTATGGCATCACAGCTCACAGCAACCTCCAACTCTTGGGCTTAAGTGATTCTCTTGTCTCAGCTTCCCAAGTAGCTGGGACTACAGGCACCTGCCATGATGCCAGGCTAATTTTTATTTTTTGTTATAGTCGTCATTGTTGTTTAGCAGAGAGCAGTTAGAACCCGGGCTGGGTTTGAATGCGCCAGCCTCAGTGTATGTGGCTGGCACCCTAGCCGTGAGCTACAGGCACTGAGCCAGGCTTTGTGATTTTTAAAGGAAAAAATCTGATTATGTAACTCCCCTAATTACAAACTCTCTCCTGTTAGGTGCAGTAGCTAGTCCCCGTGACTCAGGAGGATTGTTTGAGCCCAGAAAATTAAGACTAGCCTGGGCAACATAGCAAGACTCTCCCCACCTCACCCCCTTTTTTTTGAGACAGAGTCTCACTCTGTTAGCCTGGGTAGAATGCCATGGCCTCACCACTATAGCAACCTCAAACTCTCGAGCTCAAGTGATTCTCTTGCTTCAGCCTACCAAGTACCTGGGACTACAGGCACCTCTCACAACACCTGGCTATTGTTCTGCTTTTAATAGAGGCAGGGTCTCATTCTTGCTTAGGCTGGTCTTGAACTCCTAAACTCAAGCAGAGCTTCCCAGAGTGTTGGGGTTACAGGCATGAGCCACGGTTCCCAGAGGCAAGACCCTATCTTTACAAAAATTATAAAACAAATTCTCTCCTGGCTACCTACTGAGCTTAGAAGAAAATTCTAACTATCTACACTGCCCTTTGTAAGCTGGCCTCAGCCCATCTTATCTCGAACACTCTTTCCTTGATCATTATGCTTTAGACCCTTGGCTTTGTTATCAAGTAGTTCAAGCTCATCCCTACTTGGGGCCCTTGGACAAGCTGCTCTTCCCGGGATCTCTGCCTAGTTGGCTCCTACTCATTCAGTCTCGGCTCAAATACCACCTCAGCATGCCTTCCCTCTCTAAGAATCTCAGTATCTTCTCAATCAGTCTGTTTCTTTTTCTTTTCAACTGTAATCACTACCTCATGTTTTGTTTTTTTCATATTCCTCCTCCTACCCCCAACGACAATGGAACCATGTACCTCAGGTACAAGCGTTCAGCTCCATTATCATGCATGGCATGTAGTAGATACACAAATATTTGTTGAAGGAGAGTGCGGGGTGATAAGGTGGCAAAAGGAGTTGGCTTTCAATTACAGGATATTCAAACCAGGTTGAGTTTGAATTTTCTACAAGGCAGAAGGGAATGTTTCCTATAGGTACACAATGACTATCCATCTGCTTCTGAGCATACGGATGGTCCAGACCCCATCACAAAAAGGAGAAAACTGTGTCAGGCACAGGAGCTCAAGTCTATAACTCTAGTACTTTGGGAGGCCAAGGCAGGAGGATTACATGAGGCCAGGAGGTCAAGGCCAGCCTGGGCAACATAGTGAGGTCCCAAAAAAGAAAAAAAAAGAAAGAAAAAGAAAAAATTAGCCAGGTGCAGTGGTGTACAGGTGCATGCCTGTAATCCTAGCTACTTGGAAGGCTGAAATGGGAGGTTCATTTGAGCCTAAGATTTCAACATTGTATTGAGGTATAATGATGGCATTGCACTCTAGCCTGGGCAACAAAGCAAGACCCTGTCTAAAAATAAGAAAAGAAAACTAGATAAAGAAAGGCAAATAGGCTCGGCGCCTATAGCTCAACCTGCTAAGGC